ATGGAAATAAACTCATCGATGGATATTTAGGGGAGGGAATAAATATCTGCTGTATAATAATTTAGTCTACCACACCACATGACCGACAGAAATTTACTTAAAGCCCAAGACTCAGTCTCCTTTTTTTTGTAAAACAGGGAATATCACCCTGCCTCATGCGGCTGCCATAAGGACTACATGGGATAATGTCTGAAAACCACTCAGCATCATGCCTGATGAGTGGCATGAGCACAATAAATATCACGTGTTATATTGTTTTTAATTATAGACCAACACTGCAATTGATCTTTTGAACCCAGGTGGAAGACTTTCCATTTTTCCACATCAGATTTTATCTTGTTATCTCTGACACATTGTTCCAGTCGTTGGAGATATTTGGGGTCGTCATCTATCAAGTAAATAAACAAATTCTGAGAGCACTACACTAAGTAGGATCCCATATATTACCTGGCGGGCTTGATGAAATAGCTGTCCCTGTTGACTTGCTGTAATTTGCACGTTCAATCATCATGCCCCCACTCTTCAAGGATGGTGGACGTGTTGAGGGGACAGGGCCAACTCTGAAGCCCTCTTTTGACTGACATCAATCAGTGAATCAATCACCTCTGGGTACATGTGTTTAAAGTTACATAGCAACTAACAGTCCTGCTTCAAGTTCTGTGTTTCTCCATTTTCTCTACCAGGGCTTTACTCAGGGCCTCGTATAAATCTGAATATGCTGTCTTCAGCATCCTCACTCACTCATCATATGTCCATGTCCTAAGTATGATTTTGTGCAAAATCTCCACATATGGCTCTGTTGGTCTATCCTGACCTTCCCTGTCTCCACTAGGGGCATTCACGACCACTTGCCCAACATTCAGTTCAGAGTTTCTACAGCCTGAAGAGTTGCCTTCCCTTATTTTGACAGAAACACTGGGATTTCCTTGGGCCTTTTGAAATCCCCTTTACCAAGGGGTAAGGTGAGCATGTGCTTGCCAGGCCTTCCCTTCCCAATTTTGGTAAACTGAAAGGCCATCTGGGCAGCTGTCACAAGCTTCCCCTCACTTCTTCTTTACAAACGTTTCCTCCATATTATCCACAATGAAGGCCACAGTAATTTTCCCCACCGGGTCCTCTGTAATATGGGAAACAAAATTGTCAGAAAGCTATAAGACGCTCAGTGAGACCTAGCAGATGGCTAGTTTGTGATTGGAATCAGCTTGGGGGTCAGTCTACAATCCGCAAACAGAGGAAGCCAACTTGCCTCCCTGTGGATGATGAGCTTGGCCAGTTTGTAGAAGGCTTGGCTAGAACCCAAAATTCCAGGACCGACTTTTCTTGGCCCAGACTTGTGGTCAGTGGGTCTCCAAGAAGCCCTCCTTCAACCAAGCCCTCACAAGGCAAGAGTAGGCCCAACAGGTGATCAAGAAAACCAACGCTCAAGTCCAACTTCTTTCATAGGCCATCTTTGCCAAAAACTAGGTTAACTGGTGCTCCCAAAAAAACATGATAGTAATTTTTTCCTATAAAATATGTTTTACCAGGGCCAGCCCAGTGGTGTAGTGGTTAAGTTTAACGTGCTTCACTTCGGCAGCCCGGGGTTCGCGGGTTCAGAACCCTGGCGTGGACCTACACACCGCTCATCAAGCCATGCTGTGGTGGTGTCCCACATACAAAATAGAGGAAGATTGGTGCAGATGTTAGCTCAGGGACAATCTTCCTCAGCAAATAAATAAATAAATAAAATATATTTTACCTACATGAAACATATTAACAGATTTATGTTTTTTTCTTTATTATTCTTCTAAAATCTACCATTTAGAAATGGTGTGCTGCATGTGAGAGTGCCAGGAAGCCCTGAGAGAGCTCTCCTAAGGCTCAGGGCCCTCTCTGCCTCTCTCCTCTAGCCAGCTAACTACTGGGCTGGCAAGTGATGTCTACAAGATGCCAATGTCTCCGTGTTGTGTGTCTTGTCTTCTTAGAATCCAAACATGTTTGTGCTATTCTCTTCCTTTTTTCTCATTAATGTAAAAGCATTTATTTTCTCTAATTTTATTATCGGTTTTTTGTTCTGTTTTCAAGTAAAAACAAAATGACCAGAGATCAAACTGTGATCATTTCCTGCAGCAATTAATCTAACTGTGCGGCTGCGTTCTGCTGAGCACTTTAATCCACGTTAATCACAGCTCGGGACTGTGCTCCATCCATACTGCACAATTACTATGATGGTCCACAGTCAAAAGATTTGGAACCACTGCCCCGAGGAGTTGGAGATGCCTCCCAACTAGGGGAACGCAGGCTGAGCTGTTGCTCACCAGACTCAGGCCTGGCTCTCCGCAGAGAAGGTTGGCCCTTCTCCCAGCTCCCACTGACCCTGAAAGAAGGTTCCAGATTCTGGCTCCTCCCAGAACTCACCAAGGGGGCAAGCTACTGCTTCCTTGTATTCGAAAATCTGACCCACCCAGCGAGCCTCCCTGCCACTCACCACCCCAGGCCTTCCCATGTGTGTGCACCAACAGGAGGAGTGCTGGCACCCCAGGCTGATATCCAGGAGACACAGCCCTCCTGTCCCCCTGTGTCCCTGTAGCAGCCTGAGGAGAAACAGCAGCTGCTCCTCAGCCATAGCCCATATCTCCTTATCTCTGTCTTGCTCTTCACAAACTTCTGCCTTCAGGCCTGACCGTCTTCAAAAGCTCCAGATGACAAGCAAAAACAGAAATGCAGAGTGGCCGAGGACCCGGGAAAATACAGCACATTGGCACAGGTTTGCTCCAACCATGATGGAAACTGATCTGTGAACTGTGGGAGCACAAGTGATCTGAAATCCTCGGGGAATCCACTCTCCCTCTCCTGGCCCATGTGGGAGACACTTAAGGAAGATGTATTGCTAAGCGGCAGGCACTGGCCCATGGATTCCAGATTAGTCTTTTCCCTGACAAAGCCCAGCTCCCAGGGGTGAGTTGAAGCCCACGCAGTCTGTGTAGAAGCCAGGGATGCTTAAATCCTGGAACACACTCTTCTTACACATTCGATCTGGAGTTCAGCCTCTTCCGCTGTAAACGTGGTTAATACCTACACTATCGGGTTGATAGAGTTTAAAGAAGCTGAGAGTTGTAAAAATGCTCAGCAAAGTGACTGGCACGAAGTAGCTGCTCAGTAAATGCTTCTCTTCTATCCTATGGCCTGTTGTGGTCAAAACGCAGATACTGGAGGCAGCACAGACTCTGTCCCAGGGGGTGGCACAGTGAGGAGTGAGGGGAGCAGACAGGGATGAGCCCACGACAGAACATGAGACCAGTGTCTGACCCGAGGGTGACACCCTGCCTAAAGGCACTCCAACATGTATGGTAAAACTCATTATGCTGGCCACACAAACACATCTCTGAGCTGGGGTCAGCTGATGGGCAGTGAGTTTTCAACTCTAGAGGAGAGAAAAATCTGTAAGGAAATAATCACAGCTGTAGGCTATTTCTAGCAACGTAAAGTGAGCAGATTGGAGCAAGGCCCCCACACCCACCTGCAGAGCCTAGAACCTCACCCCCTTCCACATACACACTCATGGCTGCCCCCTCAGGACATAGTGCTGCAAGGTGGTCTCCTTTACTCCCCGAGATTAGACCACAAACTCCCAATTCCCCTGCAGAAATACCAGGCCATTCTGCATGGCAAACACCCACTGCCCACTTGCAGCAGCCTCCCCCCACCACCTATTATCAAAGAAATATCCCCAAAGCCACGTCCTTGGGGTTCAAGCTCAACACCGTGCAGCTGCTAGGGCAACTCCACTCGCCTCTAACAGTTTGCTCGTCTAACGGACCCAGAACGGCTACACGATGTGCCGACTAAAGTCTAAAAACATATTGCATTTACTTATTAACACTTTCTCCAGAGGAACTGGGGTGGCTTAACACAAAGAATATATATGATCAACTGGAACAACATAAATAAAGCATACATAAGTTAGAACAAGGGAAAAGGACAATACAATTGTGCTAACACAAGAATTAATATCCTTGACCCTCCTGGGAGTAAGAGCAAAAAGGGACATACATTCAGTTACATGGATCCCATGGCCAGGGAGGAGGAAGCAGACATTCACTAAATTCTGCAAGATATCCCTCCAAATTGCGTAACAGACAATTTCTTCAAGGGACAAAGAAAAGACTCACTGAATATCCACTACATGCTGAGAACACTACAGGACCCTTGAGGTACAGGGCCACCCCAGCCCGTAGGAGCTTAGAACAACACGACCCAGTGTGAAAGGGCTAGCGAGCGGTGTGCTGACCAAGTCCAGCCCTGACTCACCCTCCGGCCACCCTGTGCAGGACACAACCCGCCCAGCTGTACATGGCAGCCTCGTGTATGCACATCCTCTTTGCATCCTTACGGTGATCCTGCAAGGACACGGTTCCACTCACAGATAAAGAAGCCAGGGCTCAGAAAGTGTGTCTCGTCCAAGTTCACAAAACCAACGAGTGACAGAGCTGCATTCTCTGACTCCTTCGTCCAGCTTCTTTCCACTACACCTATATCAATAACTATGTCAGCCGCAGAGACTGGCAAATTCCATATGGCTTGTTTCCTGTAGGACCCTTGGCAAAAGCTGCCACTTTGTGTAGGGGACTCAGAAGGAGTCTGGGGGCATAATGAAGGCCACATGCAGAGCTTTCTGGTGGTCAGGCTTCTCCCAAGGATAGAGCTGAGGACCAAGGGTGCAAACACAGAGGGAGGCCTCCATGGGACCTGGCTCTGCAGCCCTCCCTCCCCATGCCTGGGATGCTCATCAGCATCACCTGGAGAGCTGACTCCCCACCACCACTGGGTCTGCATCTCTAAGAGTGGGACCCAGGTGTGCTGATGTTTTGGAGGTCCCCAAGTTTTCTGTATGAAGAGACAAGCAGATATTCATTTGCTAGGGCTGCCATAACCAAGTACCACAGACAGGGTAACTTAACAGAAATTTATTCTCTCCCAGTTCTAGAGACCAGATGTTTAATACCAAGGTGTCAGCTGGGTTGGTTTCCTCTGGGAGCTGTGAGGGAAAGATCTGTTCCAGTCCTCTCTCCTTGGCTTGTAGATGGCCGTCTTCTCCGTGAGTCTTCACATCATCTTCCTTCTGTGTGTGTGTGTCTCTGTGTCCAAATTTCTCCTTTTTATAAGGACACTAGTCATATAGGATTAGGGCCCACTCTAATGACCCTATCTTAACTTGATCATCTACACAGACCCTATTTCCAAATAAGGTCACATCCTGAGGTACTGGGGTCAAGATTCCAACATATCTTTTTGCAGGGACACAATTCAACCCATAACTGAGGGCTACAGCACAGGTATCCTCTGTGACAAACGCTGATCCACAGGAATCAGGAAAGGGCCAGGAGGCCAGGCAGAGAACAGGCCTCCTGCCGGGTTCCAGGTCTATCCACCGTCCTATGCCAAGCCACCTTCGTCTGTTGCCAAAACAGCTTCAGAAGCCTCCTAGCTGGTCTTCATTTGCCCACAACTGTCACCACCATCCAAGCTCCACACAGCAGCCAGAATGAACTTTTCGATCAAAACACAAATCTGATAATAGCAGTCACTGTTTAAAAGCCTTCAATGGCTGCCCTTTAGTCTCAGGGGGGAGACCAAAGCCACTCCATCCTCATTACCTCCCAATGCTGTGCGGGGTCCCAAAACACTCGCCCTTTCCTCCTCCCGCCACCTGGGACTCACCTAGACCTAGTCACAGTTAAGTTCCTCTCACCTGTCAGGCCCCAGCTCGATGTCTTCTCCCCAGGGTCGCCCACCCCACACCACGGCCCCCGGGATGGGTGTGTCAAGTCTGTCCTGCTCATCACTGGACCCAGCATCTAGACCAGTGTGCGGCATATGGCAGGTGCTGAATATTTGTTAAGTGAAGACAAGGAGTGACAGTGATGCATTTCAGTGTATCATCCTGGATACTTTCTCTCTTTTCGTGAATGTTTATTAAATCCTTACAATGCATAAGACACTAGGAGCTGAATTTCTGAGACCAGAAATGACTGTCCAAGGTCACACAGCTAATGCAGTCTGATTCCCGATCCTCACTTCTCAACCACAAACCCCTACTGGCGCCCCAGGCAGGGGTTCCCCAGGATAGCTCTGATTCCTCCTTCTGCAGCTCATCTCTGGGTGTTTCCTGGCCACTAGACAAACCTCCCTGCTCCTCCTTCTCCACGGAAAACACCCTAATGTTCCCACCCGGAGGTCACGGGGTGAAAGGCTGATAGAGTCATAAAGAAAACGGCCAAGAGTGCTGGCCGTGCCCCAAGTGGGGTCAGAAGGGAGATCTGCCTCCTGAACATATTGTAATGAATCAGCCACTGGACCTGGAGTCCCCAGATGAGGCATCAGATCCTGCTTCTGCTACTTTCAGGGGTGAGAACTTAGGCCAGTCTCATGGCTTCTCTGAACTCCACTTTCCTCCTCTGTAAAATGTGAGGGAATACTGAAGCCCGTTTCATAGTGAGGACTCAGGAAATCACAGATGCCTAGCTTGAGGCTGGCCACTGCAAGCACCCAGGAAATGACTATAATCTCTTCCTTCCTCCAGGGAGAGCTGTAGCTTGGGAGGCCCCAGTGTGGAGGGGCCACTGGCTCCCACGAAAGCTGTGGGGCAAGGTTCTGAGTGAGGATAAATCTCAGTAACCCACCATTTGATGGCGGCCCATGAGCACAGAGAACCAGGAACTGACCAGCGGGCAGCAAGTTCCAGTCCAATCCCTGGAAGAAATGACCACAGCAGCCAACCGTGGAGAACGCGCCTCTCCACACCTTGGCAAGAACAACCCACACCTCTGCTAGCAACACCTGCAGCCAGATACGCAGCAGCAAAGGCAAGACTTGCCTGGTTTTGTTCTATTTTATGCCTTGAAATGTGCAGGCAATGGATATGAGCCACAGTCACTCCAGAGGAAAGCCCGCACAGATTCTCGGCCTTTGTGGAAGGGAATCTGGAAGCACCTGGCTGCCAAGGCCACTACCTTCACAAGGGCCTGATTGCCTGCCCAGCTTTAGACGGGAGCTCAGCAGCCACTAGGAAGGAGCCTTGGCAAAGGGCTTCATGCTGGTCTCCTCCAAAGGGGCCCAGAGCTCCTCCAGGCTCTGCCCTCTTGCCCCCGGCTCCCAGGCAAGCCAGGGTCTACCTTTGAAAGTTTTGTCTGATAGACGTGGCCTTCTCTTTCCTTTACTGTCACTCTCTGTGTTTCCCATGCCCACTGCCCCTTTGATCCGGTGTTTGTTCAATGAGGCCTCTGTTCACCAAATGCACTGAGTGCCAACTGTGTGCCAGGCACCACTGCCAGCATAGAGGCCACAACAGGGGCAAGACAGGCACAGCCCCTTTGATCGCAGCCTGGCAGGAGAGCCATCAACTGACCGTCAAACTAATACAGGACAGAACGTCAGGTCATGGCAAACACTACGGAGTAGAGCAGGGGAAGGGCCAGAGGAGACGGGAGGGGGCTGTTTTAGGAAGGGCAGTCAGGGGCAGCCTCCCTGAGGAGGCAGCATCCCGCAGAGGTCCCAACAAGGTAAGGAAGTGAGCCTGAGGCTACCTGGGAAAAGAGTGATCCATTAGAGGGGCAGACAATGCAAAGGCCCTGAGGTAGGAGCTTGCTGGGCAAGTTTGAGAACCAGAAAGGAAGCACGAGGTGAGCATGGGGGATGGCAGTCAGAGATGAGGCCAGAGAGAGCAGCAGCCATTTCGTGAGAGCCGTGGAAGTGATGAAAATGACTTTGGATCTTATTCTGAGAACAGAAACCATTGGAAGCATTCTGAACAAAAATGATCTGAGTTATAGGGGCCACCTGGTGGCATAGTGCTTAAGTTTGCGCACTCTGCTTCGGCGGCCTGGAGCTCGTGGGTTCAGATCCCAGGTGCGGACATATGCACCATTCATCAAGCCATGCTGTGGTGGCATCCCATATACAAAACAGAGAGAGATGGGCACAGATGTTAGCTCAGGGACAACCTTCCTCAGCAAAAAGAGAAAGACTGGCAACAGACATTAGCTCAGGGCCAATCTTCCTCACCAAAAAAAAAAAAAAAGGTCTGAGTTATGTTTATAAGGGTCAGTCTGGATGCTCTATGGAAAATTGTCTCCAGGGGTCAAAGGTGAAACGTGGCTACCCCTGAGGACTCCTGTGGGCGTGGTCAGTCAGACGAGAGCTAAGGGTGGCCCAGGTGGTGTTGCTGGCAGGGGAGGAGGGGAGGAGACTCCTGGTGAGCCCAGCCCTTGGCAGCTGTGTGACTTGAGACAAGTCAGGGACTTCTCAGAGCCTCAATGTCTGTCTCTGGACAATCCCAGCATCCCCAGGGTTCCAAGCAGGAATACAATGAGATAACATCCGTCAACGGCTTTGCACAGCACCTGGCTCATATCAGGACTTTCTTTCCCCTCCACTATCGTCTCCACCTTTGGGGGAGGATTTCTCCCCGTAGTGGCTCTTGCAACTGGAAAAGGGACTCCCTCAGACGAGGCCCAGGTTTCTCAGCAAGAGCAACCCACAGGCGAAAACAGGAAAACTCAAGAATCTCTTAAATCAGGACCTTAAAAACCATCATAAAAAAGACGACCTGGCGCTTTTATGGCTCCCTCAAAAACGCTTTAGAAACACACGTGGCGTCTTCCTCCTGAGCCCTCTGTTGTCAATCCAATTAGCCAATTTGAGGCCCAGAAACAACACAGATTTCCAGAGGCTGGAGGCCTCCAGAGAGGGCGGAGCTGCCCAAGCGGGAGGGGACGCTGGCCATGACCTGGACACAGGCCTCCGGGGTAGCAGGCGGGCAGCCCCGCTCCTGCGCCCACCACCTTGCCTAATGAGTGTGGCAACCTCTGGTGAGTTGGAAAGTGAGGAAATGGAGTCTCTCCCCCACATGCTGGTCAGCCCTGGGCTTCGGTAGGGCCCGGTTCAACCAGGAAGGCTGGGGGAGCCACATGCAGAAGGCAGGGAGGGGAAGACAGGAGCAGGGCTCGTGTGCAAATTCACCAGGTGAGACTGAGCTCTGTGCCCCATGGCGCTGGGCCCCAGCCCTGACCGGCCTGACTCTGAGCGGCCCCTCAGCTCTGCGGTAGCTCTACAGTCCACAGTGGTGCACCGCCTCAGGAATGAGCCCAATTAATGTTCACAGCTGCTCTGTAAGATGGACAGGGAAGAAATGACGATCCCATTTTAAAGAAGAGAGAACTAAGGCTCAGAGAGGAGATGTGAAGACTTGAACAGAATTGACCTCCTTCCGAGATGACCCAGGAGTCCTAGTTGCCCAACCTCCCTCGGGCCAGGGTGTCACATCCAGGGTTGTCAGACCAGAATGAGCCTCTGGATCCTGTGATGGTCAGGAGGAAACAGCCAGGCCAAGGGAGGTCCCACGGAGTCTCCAGGGCAGTGTCCAGCTGCTCCTCACACTGATGCTCCATTGCTCAAGGACCGTCCCTTGCCATGTCTCCGTCAAGGGAGGGAGAACAAAGACTCATCACTAGGGCCATGATACTGGGGACTGCCGAGAGAAGAGGGCTCCTTGCCTTCATCCTTCACTGCACAACATCATTCTCCCGCATGCCCCCCAGACCCCTCACCCCCCGCAGCTCCTCCTCACGCCTGCTCCTTCTCCTCCCCTCTCCCATCTCCTCTAGACACCTGGGGGTCAGCCTTTCTCCTCCTCACCCTGCTGACCTCCACACCGTGGCCATTGGATGTCAGGAAAATTGATGGCCTCAGAAAAGACCTGGGCCGGCCCCATGGCTTAGCGGTGAAGTGCACCTGCTCTGCTGCTGGCGGCCCAGGTTCGGATCCTGGGCGTGCACCGATGCACCGCTTCTCCAGCCAAGCTGAGGCCGCGTCCCACATACAGCAACTAGAAGGATGTGCAGCTATGACATACAACTATCTACTGGGGCTTTGGGGGTGGGGGGGAAATAAATAAATAAAATCTTTTAAAAAAAAAAGAAAAGACCTGGGACAAGTCAACGTGGAACAAGGAAGAGACACAAGAGTTTCCCTCCTTCCTATGGACTCACCACACCTAGTCTAAGCCTGAGGGTCTCCTTCAAGCCCAGATCTGGTGGGGTCTAGTATCCATCTACCACCTGGCTGCCTGAGGCCAAGACACGAGCTACTCATACCACAACGAAGCCCTCTGGGGAGGGATCCTGGGGAGGAGATCCCTCCTGGCAGCTGCAGGCAGGTGGGACATGCCTGGACCCAGAGCTGGGAGGGAGTGGGCAGGACCCCTGTGAAAAGCCCTGGTCCTGGCCAGAACCCAGCACGTGCCGGCCCCTGGGAAGAATCGTCAGAGCCTGACTGCCCTCAGAAGCTGTCAGACATGTCGCATCACAGGCGGGGCAAGCAATGCCCCAAAGGGGAAGGGAAGTGTCCTCCATCAGCAGCAGATTCAGGATCCCTCGTGCTCCCGATAAAGAATAGCCCCCACTCGCAGCCTCTCACCCTGGGTCCCAGAGGCCAGCTATGGAGATCAGAGTGTCTAATGGGAGTCCCGCTCTTCACACTGAATCTAATGCAATTCACCATGATTAACACCCTCCTGGGTGCTAAGCACTAGGTGAAGCTTAATCATTGACACCAGGGTTTCTCATCCTCAGCACCGCTGACATTTTGGGCCAGACAATTCCTTGTGGTAGAGGGCTGACCTCTGCATGGTAGAACATTTGCAGCATCCCCAGGCTTTACCTACTAGATGCCATAGCACCTTAGCCCCAGTTGTGACAACCATATATGTCTCCTGACCATATATGTCTCCCGACATCGCCAAATGTCCTCTAGGGGACAAAATCATCTCGAGTTGAGAACCACTCGTCTACACCATTTAACCCTCACGATAACAGTAGATATTGCTATCCCACGCTGCAAATGAGAACACGGAGACTCAGAGAGGTTTCACAGACTTGCCCAAGGTCACCAACACGTAGCAGAGCTCCTATTTGAACCCAGGGCTTTCTAATTCAAAGCACAGGGCACTGTCCACTATGTAACTCAATTTCCTGATGCAAAGAGCAACACTAAGCTGCTGCCTACCTCAGTCTCCTGCAACTGTAACCAAGAGGAAAAGGCCTGAATCCGAAGGGTAAAACAGAAGTAACCTCTGTGTGTGTACCTAGACTACAGCCTTCAGAGGCCAGAGGTAGGTCTTATGGCACAGTACACTGAGCCCATGGACAGGCCTTCCTTGTAGGAGCCATTCTCAGCACAAAACCAACATTCCTAGTGACCAAGACAGCTGCGCTGAGCCCCTGGAATGCCACCCCCCACCGTCACCGCCTGGCTGAGCAGCTGTCTGTGTCTGTGTCCCCAGGGCACCCCCACTGCGAGCTCCTCTGTTCCCTCCATCTTTCTATCGGCAGGACCTAAACCAGTGCCTGGAGGAAGTCCCATCTCCATACACAGCCCGGCCCACAGGGAGAGGCAGAAGTAGAACAGTCAGCCGTCGGCGGCCTGCGTCCCCCACTGTCACGTTCACAAGGGGAAAAGAGTCTGGTCTCTTGGTACGAATCCTGACACATTTGGAACAAGTAGTTTCATCTCTCAAAGCATTTCCTCCCCAAGAGAACAAAAATAATAATACCCACCCTCAGGCACGTGGTGGAAATAAACAAGACGTTGGAGGCTAAATGCCCAGCACAGCGTCCGTTGCATTCGAGGAGCTCAGTAAATCATCCATTTAATAAAATTAGGAAACACTAAGTATGACTAGGAGAAAAGCTTCACCTGCCTCCCAGCTGTTTTTGAACTTACAGAGATATTGGGTGGATAATAAATGTCTGCTAAGAAGCCCGTGGTAAGCCACGCTCCCATATCTGAGGCAGCCCAAACGTAATGGAGAAACCCTGAGAGGTAATGAAGTTGTCTCAGACTGCCTTCGTCTGAAAAGCAATCGCCTGCAGATAGCAAGCCCAGAATATTTCCAAATGAGAAGCCCTGGGAGAGCCCTTGGTAGGCACCAAACCAGGCAGTCCAAGAGGAAAAAAATAATAATACAGGCTGTTGTCTGAGGCGTTTGTCTGTGCATCCTGTTGCGGAAACAGCATTAGCCACAGAGACAGGCTGACAGGGAGGCCGGCGGGAGAGAGCATCAGGGGATGCAGCGGCCTGGAGAAGCTCAGCATCACCGCCAATCCTGCTGCAGCCGGCCCGCCGCCAGCCACACGGGGGAAGGGAAAGGTCTGCGCAGGCGGAGGCACGTCAGCACCAGGCCACAGAGGTGAGGAAGCGGGCAGGGATGCTGCCAGGGCCTTCTGGAGCTTGCCCTGGCCCCTCGGTCAGCTCAGCCTGCACCTGCACTTAAGTCTCACATATGTGTAACACTCATTTACTCAACAAGTGTTTGCTGAGCACTAATTAAGTCCAAAGAATTGTTCTAGGTTCTGAAGGTACAGCAAAGGATAACAGATAAAGCTCCCTTGTCTCTCAGAGCTTCCACGTGAAGGAGAAAAAGAACAACAGGCCCCATTTGCTCAGTTCATCCAGTGGAGCCGGGATTCTGCCCACTCCCCCGTTCAGCATCCTGGGACAGAGCAGCCCCATGCGGGCATGGCTGCAGTCCCAGCCACGGGTGCTGATTCCCAGGTGAGGACTGCCAGCCTGAGCTCCAGAATGAGTCAGAACTTCCCTTCCTGCCCGACCCTAACAGGCTCCTCCCATCTAGTGCCAGTCTGGGGGGTGCGCCCCAGCACACACCAGGGCAGCCACCCAACACCCATGCCTCAGAGTTGCTCCCAGCCTGCCAGCTCCCCAGCCCAGCAGCTGAGTGTTCTTTCTAAAACCTACCCTGGATGGGTAGGTCCCTACCTTCCAAAGGTTCACTCTATGAGGATCAGACCACCCCTCTCAGCCTCACCTCCTCCATCTCAGCCTCACCTCCCCCATCTCAGCCTCACCTCCCCCCCGCCAGCCTCACCTCCCCTCCTCTCAGCCTTCCTGGCTCTACTCTCACCCAGCCCTTTCTCCCTCTGGGCCTCCATTCCTTCCTCCTGGAGTTGTGGATGCTCTTCCGCCATCACTGCCTGTTTCAAGCATTCTCACCCTTCAAATCCAAGTGTAAGTGACCCTTCCTCAGGGGCCTTCCCAGGCCCCACATCTGAAGCAGACCCCTAACAATGCTGTTCCACATCTTCACATCCTCAACTTTTCCTTCACAAACATCATGATTTGCACTGTTTTGTGTGACTGAGCGATCACCATCTGATGTCTCCCCTTCCCGCAACCGAAAACTCTACCAAGGAAGGTAAAAACATCGAGTTTGCCCACCACTGAATCCATTGCCCCTAAGACAGAGAGGCATTAATAGGGGCTCAGTAAACAGCTACTGTACACAAACGAATAAAGATCTGGCATGTTCCCTCCACCCCAATTATTCACCTGATTCCCACCCATTCTTCAAAACTTGGTTCAAGTATCACCTCTGCTTCTGACTTCCCCCCATCTTCCTGCCAGGTTTGAGTGACCCCCCCCCACGGCTTTCCCCACCCCCTGTACTTTCCTCCAGAGCAGCAGTACCACATGGAGACACAATCAACCGACTGGTGTTGGAGGCAGAGGAGGCTTAATTTGACTTTGTGTTCCCTGCCCTTAACACAGAGCCTGACACAAGTTCAACAGATGTAGCATGAATAAAATGTAGGAACGTAGGAAGGAAGGAAGGAAGAAAGGAAAGCAGGAAGGCAGGAAGGAAGGAAGGAAGGAGGGAAGGGAGGAAGGGAGGAAGGAAGGAAAAGTGCAGGGAAGCTTTTGTTAAGGCTCCTCAGACTGGAAGCTTTGTAACTACTGGCAGAGGCTCCATTATCAAATGAACCATTTACAAGAAGAGGAAGTGATATTTTCACACTTTCTGGAAGTCTGCTCTCCCAGCTGGGCCCTCCTGGATCCCTGGGCCTGGAGAAATGGGTAAAGATGCCAAGCCGAGATAATGATCCACTCAGGGTCACTCTCCGTCCACAGGGGATGGACAGCTCAAGTGCCAAGGAGGCCATGGGCCTTGGCTGTGGGTCCCAACCTCCAGGGGTTGCTGAGCCACAGGCTGATGGTGCTGCCTGTAGTGCTCAGGATGCACGTGGGTGTTGGGGGGGTGGATCTGTGGGGTCCTCCAGGCTAAGGACACTCAACCATGGGAAGTTGTTTTAACATGTGCCCGGGATTTGTTTTTATCATTTATGGTAAGACGTGCAGACATGGAAATGACTGTCACGGAGGAAGCAGTTTATATACTCACAGCTGCCTAGGAACGGGAGGCACAGCCCCCCATGCAGGGCCATGCAAGGAAGCACCAGGGTCAGTTAGGAGGCAGAAAGAGAGTGAAGGAGACGTGGGCAGGAGCCTTTATTGTTATTCTCACAGGAAGGAACAGGTGGGGCAGGGTGAGCGGGTTAAGGACTAGCCAGTGTGAATAATTTCAGTGGGCTCTGGAGTAGAGGGGCTGTCCTGAGTTTCTGGCCTCAGGGTGATCAGGGCAGGGAAATCGTGGCATGGCCTGTGAGAGTTTACAAAGGAAGTGGTGGGGTGTGGCTCTGGATTGGTTGGTCTGTGTACAAAAGGCACACTCACAGGGGCGTCATTTGTTCTCCTAGAATTAGCTAGCCCTGGGAAAGGCAGTCTCTCCCTGGTCAGCAGGGCTCCAAGATGTCAAAGCATCATAATACACAGAAAATAAAAAGCACGATTAATACAGAGGTGTTCTACAGGAAGGAAGAAAATTATTTTAATCTTACTTTTCCAAAATTCTCCAAAACACATGACCTTGTCCATCATATTGCCTTAGAAGTAACCTATGAAAGTTCAAGAAGGGCCCTACAACTTGGCTTCACTAGCTTCACAGTATCCCCCACCTCTGTTCAGCAGAGAAATCAAAACATCTTGCCACTTGGTGTCTAAACCCAAGGAGAAATAGTTGTTCACAGCAGCATCAGTAGGTCAGCAAGTAAAATGAATTTATTCTTTCACCCAACAGACATTTACTAGTGGCCTATCCCATGTCAGAGCCTAAATTCGGCTCAGGGGGGATGACTGTGGTCAAGGCAGGGATTATCTGCTCTCACAGGACTCACTTAAAGGAGACAATAAGCACCAAAATAAGCAATCCAACAGATAATAAAGTTATAGGTGCTAAGATAGAGACATAAAAAAACCAATCACGGGAGACGATGGATTTTCTACCAAAGTGCTGTTAAGAAAGATGAGAAGGAAGCAGCCAAGACCTTTCCAGGAAACCAGAAAATCATATGCAAAGGCCCTGGGACTAGAAAGAGCTGAGTGCTGAGGAAAGGAGGAGTGAGGGACTCAATTGCAGAAGGCAGTAAAGAGAGGGCCCTGTGTGGGTGGAGATGGGCAGTAGTCTATGCATAGAGGCCCCTGTGAGAAGTTCAGGTTTTATTTTAAGTTTAATGGAAAACTTTTGAGAAGTCTTAAATGGAAGGTGATATGGTCACATTTACTGTCATTGGTTTGTTGAACAATCAGAACTCAAAATACAGACAGTTTCTTTTCCTTCAGTCATTCTACTTGGTTCCAGAATGATACCCCAAACTTAAATTAAGACACTTTTAATTCTTAAAAAGTCCAAGTTCAAAAAACAATTTTTTTCATACAATAAATAAAATTAAAAAAAAAAAAAAAGAAAGATTGGCAACAGGTGTTAGCTCAGGGCCACTCTTCCTCACCCTCCAAAAAAAAAAAGTCCAAGT